CCGTAATGTCTGGCTGTCGGGCATTTTCTTAATTAGTGACTGATGGGGGAGGGCCCAGCCCATGGTGGGTGGTGCCATCCCTGGGCTGGTGTCCTGGGTTCTATAAGAAAGCAGGCTGAGCAAGCCATGATGAACAAGCCAGAAAGCAGCACCCCTCCATGGCCTCTGCATCAGCTCCTGCTTCCAGGTTCCTGCCCTGCTTGGGTTCCTGTCTTGACTTCCTTCCGTGAAGGGCTACCATGTGGAAACCAAATGAATCCTTTCCTTCCCAGGTTGCTGCTTCTGGCCATGGTGTTTCGTCACCAAAGTGGTCACCCTAACGAAGACTCATGCACACTTCTAAGTCATCGTCCCCCCGACAACCCCTGCACCAGCTAAGTCGTGATCTCCACGTGGGCCTCTTCCTGTTACTTGTTTTTAAGCGGCAGGACAAACTCTAGGGAACCTCTCTGCTCTAGCTTTCTCTCGCCCACATAGTCGCAGTACCACGGAGATGCCAGGTCCAGTGGGCAGTGATGAGACCTGCCTTGGCTGGCAGGCAGCCTCTCTGTGGGTGGTTTGTTCACACTCGGACGACCACCGCCACGCAGGAAGGGTGCTCCACAGGGTTTATGGGCACAGGCTGCACATGTGGCCAGCAGCAGTTTCTTTTTGTCTTCTTACTCTGGTAGGTACGGCTGGTTTTTAGGATGGGTTTAACAGTTCAGTCACCCCAGGGTTCCTCACCAACCACCACTTATTTTTTTTTTTTTTTGGGCAGAGGAAATTACCTTTACTGAGCCAAGGGCAGCTTGTTACCCATCCTTGTGGCTGAGGGTTGCGGGTCGACAGTGGCATTTGTCATTACTGAAGACTCAGTCTAGCTACCACCACTCACCACGTTCCCCTTCCGGCAGCACAGACAGTACCCGCGGGCACGGTGCCCTCAGCAAGAACATTGCCAGTGCCGAGCCGGGTCTTCTTGCTACAGTATGGAACTGACTGGGGTGGTGGTAGTGGGGGATGCCCCCAGCAGCAGTGAATGGCTTCCTCTGCCTCTCAGCCTTGCTCTCTTCCCAGTGTCCTTGATAAGGACATGCTGCTTGGGTAATCCACACTGTCCTCGTGTGACACTTTCCATACACGTGGGACGAATGTCTTCTGTCCACAGATCCTGAGGCCAGTGGGAGGCTGTGATCTTAGCTGTGACGGAGGCAGCTGCCCACCGCCAATCTGCTCTCCGCCTGTGGGGCTTTATGTTTCCAGGGCTGGTTCACACTGGAATGTGTGTTGACACTTAGGAGCTTTCATGGTGGTGTAAATGTTCCATTGTATGTACATACCACCCACATTGTAGTTATTCACCCGAGGAAGGGGATTTTCAAAATTTGCTAATTAGTCTTTCCTTGTGGTGAATCCAGATAAAACATCTATCTATCGCCTAAGTCATTTTAAAGGGTACAGTTCAGTGTGGCCACACCACTGTCCTATCCCTCTCTGTGGGAGAGGACGCTGTAGCTCTGTAACTTCCTTCTGCCTCCCCCTTGAGGGCTCCTGATCATTTAAAAATCTTCAGAAAGTTTTTGTTGTTATTATTATTGTGTGTGCATGTATATACACGCAGGTGTGTGCCTGTGGTAGCCAGAGGCCAATGTTACCTGTTTTTCTCTGTTGCGCTTCACTTTATTTATTTATATATTTTAAATGATTTATTTTTTTTAATGTGTTTGTGTGTCTGTACCTGTGTGAGCGACATGTTTGTGAGTGTCCTTGAAGGCCAGGAGAGGGTGTTGGACCCCTGGAGCTACATGTGGTTGTGAGCCACTCGACATGAATGCTTCCAACCGAACTCAGGACCTTAGGAAGAGTAGCAAGCTCTCCAACTTTACCTCTACCTTATTGATTGATTGATTGATTGATTGATTGATTGATTGACGGTGTCACTCATTGGATTTGTAGCTCCCCTCTCGGCTGTCAGCTGATCAGCGAACCATGGGAATTCTCCTGTCTCCGCTCTCCCCCAGCACTTCTGTCTTCTCTACCCACAAGGCCATCCTGCCCTTCCCCTGCCATCCTTTTCCCTCGTTTTTTGCGGGGGCAAAGTTTCCTCGTAGCTTAGGCTGGTCTGGAATTCAGTATGTAGCACAGGTTGGCCTTGAACTGTTGATCCTCTAGCCTCTGCCTCCCCAGTGCTGGGACCGTAACTGTGGACCACCATGCCCGGCCCTAATTCCTCTATGCCTCTAAGCCACACAGGGGGAGCCCCTGCTGGACCACACTTCCTTCCAAGGAAGGCCTTTCTCTGGTCTCTCCACATTCATACACTGAATACCAGAGCCATGCCTTGGTGCCTTCCTGGCTCACAGGAGGAGGCATCTCCCCCCAAGCAGCCTTGCCTCTCTGTGTGCTGGCCCTCCTTCCTCTCTATACTCTGCATTTGCAGCAAGAGGGAGTCCTGCTGGCACCTTCCCACAGACTCTCAGAGGGACAGCTACGCCTTAAGAAGGAATCAGTGCAAATTCTGCAGCTTTCAGGTTAGATATTTCAAATTCTGCAGCTTTCAGGTTAGATATTT